GGTCAACTTATTCCATATTCCATTTTCCCGAACCAATATTTTTAAAAACGGATTTATTTGTAGATTATCTAGAATTTTTAACTCACTTATACTGTTAGATCCGACAATTGATATGTTTTTTAATAGTTTTTAAGTATAAAATTAAGAAATGTCTTGTATAAGTGTTCTTGATGTTTTCCGTACGGTGTTTATTGTGTTTTATGTATTCCATTCTGTAAGTGGCGGGCTCCCCGCTGTCGAATGTGAATTAAAATAAAATAAAATAAAATAAAATAAAATAAAATAAAATAAAAATATAGGATTGTGCAGCAAACAATAAAAAAAAAGAATGCTGGTTAAGAGAGGTAAGAAATTGTAGGCCCTTGGGCTGTAAAACATCATTGACATTTTTAACCATGTGAGTACATAAATAAAAAAGATCTTTACAGTAGTTGTAATTTTATAAAACAAATAGTGACTGTTTACAGTGGAATGGAACATTCCACCTTTCACCTTATATGAATAGTTTAATTTAGTGCACTCATAAATATTCATTAGTTGTGTATGTCCTGTATATTGTAAATAAAGAACTGGTATTAAAAGTAGGTCATATAGGCTTAAATCATGTCATATGCAAAGTATAAACGTAAATTATGAATAATATCTTCTACTCTTTACATTACATATCAATTTCAGTATTGAATGGAATGTGGTACATAAGTCTTATCAAATAGCTTTGTACTGAATTTGGTTGTGAGGTGAAATCCTACATTTCTAGGAATTTAACCCAGGCCTTGGTGATGAGAATAAATTTAACAAGCAAACTAACTGTAAACAGTTGCTCAACTCCAAACTGCTGCTTACATTTTTCCCAATTGTAAATTTTTGTATTACTTCCTTTCTTTGTTCATGAACCTTTTAACCTAATAATACATACCTTGTTGCTTAGTAACGGGTAAACAGGTTACAATTTTCCTAAAATAACACATAAAGCATTTTCAGCACCAGCGAACAATAAAAAAACAATGAATAATAAACAACCAGTAAAAGTACCAGAAATTCAGACTTGTAGGAAGCAAATGTTGCTTTTTAAATATGACATTTTCGGGGACTTTGAAAAAAATATTGAATTTAACACTTAAACTATAAGTTACAAAGAAAAATGTGGTTAAATGTAGGCCCTTTAAACTACCTCTATCTGCAGGTTATCTCAGAGATAGCAGTGCTATAGAAATTGCCATTTATTAATTATATTTAAGTGAATGTGAAAATATGAAAAGTAACTAAAAAGAACACGGAGCTACTAGCACTACAGGACTTATTAGGGCATGTAGCATTTTAGTATACTCTAAAGGGAGTTTTGTCTATAATAATACTTAACTTACAATAATTATTATATATATGTATAATTATTGTGTAATAACTATTACTATTATTGTATAAAAGATTTATGTTCATCAGTGTAAATCTGATTTATACATGTGATGCAAAGGCAAGCCAAACCAGTCACTGGTCGCAAAAATCGATTTTTAATTATTAATACAGGGTTAAAGAGTAAAATGAGAGCTACAAAATGGTAAAAAAATCTTTTAAATCCGACATTTCCTTATGAAGTTACAATAATTTAACATAGAGTTGTTTATGGTACAGTATTTGAGAAATCAGCCTTCAAAGTTTATGATTTCGGGCATTTCTCTTCCAAAGATTACCAACAAATCATTAAAAATTGTTGTTTTAACATTAAAAATTGGGAAAATAACAGCATAGCATGATGTATAGGTATATAAATGTTAGTTTAGTGCAATAAAATAGATTTTAAAAATTTTGACATTTCGGCATGTTTTGGCCATTATCTCTGAACACGATTTGCGACGAGTGACTGGTTTGGCTTGTCTTTGCCACATTTTTGTTTTTATGATATTTATATATTTATTTTACTTTCAGTTATGTTTACAAGTTTTAAATGTTTCTGGCAATAATCTTGAGGAGATCAGTGAATTGCGTTGTCTTCAACATATTGCCCAGTTCATGGCAAATGATAATCTCCTAAGGGACTTCAAGGCTCTTGCTAACGTAATCGGATCCTGGAGGAATTTGTGGCGGCTGGAGCTAAGCGGGAATCCGTTATCGCATCGTGCCAAGTATAGAGATAAAATCATCGTTCTAAATGAAAACTTAGGTAGAGTTCATAATACTAATTTTGTTTATATAGTTAGAATAATAAAAATGTACCCAGTGGGGGGGGGGGGGGGGGGGGGCGGGACAGCCAACTGGCCCAAAATTTTTCAAAATAAAAAACAAACAGAGAAAAGAAGAAAATTAAATTTAAATTTTAGTCTAAGAGTGCCATTTTCAGCCATCTAGAGGTGCCATAATGATAGTGGGGCTGATGGGGTACAGACCCCCTATCTGGGCAAGTCCTTTTCTTGTTTATTTATTTCTTGCAATTCATGTTTAATATTCATTCAGACCGTTTTTCTGGTGAGTAGAGTTTCTCTCTGACTTGTGGTACAACATTATTTAAAACACACATTAAATGCTTGATCAGATACATTATCTGAGTCAGTATAAAGACAGTCCAATAGCTATGTTGCTATGCCAAACTAATTAATTATGCATATTTTATTAATAATTATCATGATAGAAATGAAATTTGTAAAGAGTGGTTAGGTACAAATTGTTATGCAAATTAATCTCAACCAAATATTCTAAAAGGAATATGAGAGTAGGCTTCCAATAAATTTAAAGAGCCACGTGGTACATTGCCATGCATAATTATTAATTATGTATACACTATTGATAATAATAAATAAAGTACCTGTGATAGAAAAACATTTAAATAAGTAATTAGTAGGAAGTACAAAGTGTGCACAATATTTCTTGATATTAGTCTGTTTTTAGTATCCTCGGGTTAGTATGTATAAGTTAAATATTACAAACCTTTTGTTTATAGTACATAGAAACAAGTGCAAACAAGTGCTCAATTAAAAAGCATTACCAAAAATAAACATTAGAATTATTGTTCTACTTCAAACAAATATGTTGTTTAAAATTATTATGTTTAATAATATATTTTACATTATAATTTTTGTTATTGTAAATTAGCTGTGTTGGATGGGAAAGAGATAAGTGGGACAGAGAAGAGTTTCCTAGTAAAATGGAAAGAAGCCAAAGACACTAAGAGGAGGATGCTTAGGGAGGCAAGCTCAATTATTGGATCAGCTAACTACAGTAGTTTAACACAAAATGGTAATTTAGAGAGAATATTTATATAAATGACAATGAAATCTATCAACAAATAGTAGTAAGAACCCAAGACCTTTATAAGGCTTGATAAAATTTCTAAAACTAAATAAAATAGTTGTTTCCTGTCCATGTCATGTTTCAGGCTATAGCACCCGAGATCTTCCACCATTGCAAGGAGCTCCAAATCGGATGAACCAAGGCGGCCTGAATCAAGTATACGTCATGCCTGGTATGATTAGCCACAAGAAGGAGTTTGAGGCTGTATTGGCGAAGTCTGCTAGCCTTCCTAACTCAGCAGCTAAGCTACGGCAGGCTCCAGTCCCACCATTAGCACTAACAAGGAAAAGTCATAGTGATTTAGAATACAAAACAAGGTATGTAATTATTATTGAATATAGATATGAATTATGTACAGTGTGACTCCCCTTTCTCAAAGGTGGGGCCTTAAATGGGTTGTAACCTTTTCCAGCATAGCTGGCACCTCCTTGGGTTGTTGGGGTCCAATGTGAATTTAGATATTGGCATGCAGAATTACAAACATAAAAATAGGTCTATTTAATCTGGCTATGTGATTTTTGTTGTTCAATATTTCATTTAAGACTAATAAATCTAAATTAATCGTAGTAAGCCATAATCATCACTGCCAGTGTAAATGTGCATCCAGAGCAGAACAATATAAACAGAATATTTGTTTTGTTTTCTAAAATTTGTTTCCAAACTTATCTGCATAAAGAGCCAACACCAATATATTAGCTAAGTTATGTTAATATGTGGCAAAGACAAGCCAAACCAGTCACTCATCACAAATCAGAGATAATAATAATAATAATTCCATACTTCTATAGCGCATTCTGCAAAAAAGCTTCAATGCGCTTTACAAAAAGAAAAGATAACAAGCAGTAAATAATTTTGACTTAAACTACTTGAACTTAAAGTACTTAAACTAAAATAATGGCCAAAACATGCTGGAATGTCAACTTTTTCAAAATCTATTTTATTAGACTAAACTAACCTTTTCATATTTATACATCATGCTATGTGGTTATTTTTCTCATTTTCAATGTTAAAACAAAATTTTAATGATTTGGTGATGGTTTTGCCCGAGAAATGCCTAAAATCGTCAACTTTGAAGGCTGATTTCTCAAATATTGTTCTTTAAACATCTGTATGTTTAAACTCCTGTAACTTCATAACGAAATGTCCAGATATAAATGATTCTTTTACCATTTTATAGCTCTTATTTTACTGTTTAACCCTCTTAAAAAAACTAAAAATAGATTTTTGCGAGGAGTGACTTGTTTGGCTTGTCTTTGCCACATATTGTCATATTATTGTGACTGTAACAAAGGAAAAAGTAGTTGCAGCTTTTGTAATATAATGTATTCATTCTTCATAATGATTGTTTTGGAAATTATTGCTTTTCAGAAGAATAGCAATGCAACCAAGACAAAACAGAATACCAGATAACTCACCTATCAGCATGCCACATGGACATATAACACTGCCCTCATGAGTTCAGACCTTGAAAGTTCAAATGGGAAAAGTGCTGAAATATTCTGTCATTGATTCTGGATCAGCTGAAGGCTTATTTAGCGGACAGTCACTTGTCTTTTTTTTTTTTTAAATATTGGCGTACATATATTGCATCTCAAAATAATAATTATCTATACAATTTGTTTCATCTAGTTCAATGTTAATCATTCCTTCAACATATTCCATACTTGCGACATCAAAGGCTGGGGAGCAGTGCCACAAGTGTTTTCTTTTTTTAAAAAAATGTTTATATCTTGAGAGATAATTATTTGATGTATGGTACTTTAAACGATCAAATAAGCGCCTTTCTTGAATAAGCCCTTAATTGAATTAAAAGTAAATCACAATGTGCCTATGTTCTCTGTTATCAAGGCACCAACCAACCAATCGCTCACAAATGTAGCAACAAGTCAGATTACTGTAATTCGTAGCAAGGTCCACTCCCAAATAAATGCTGCACCGAAGCCTCCAAAAATTGCTGTGGCTGTGGCTCTTTATTGGGTTTACTAAAATTCAATAAACATTCTAATCATGTGACTATGTATACAGTAACTTAAAAATATTTGTTTGAATTTATATGATGCAAAACTTAAATTCAATTTGATAAATTTAAGTCTATTTAATAAAACTACACATTATACATTTCTTAGAATGAAATTTTGTTTAAATATTTGTAGCAGTTGATATTTTATTTATCTTTTTTGTTATATTGTAATTTTATGCAGTGCAATAATTATGCATCACTTATAAATGTTTAAACACTTCACAAGAAACGATAATACATTTTAAAATCTTGCATGCCTTCCAAATTTCTTCTTCTGTATTTCTATTTTAATACGTTGTATTTGAACTTGTATTCCAGATATTATATTCCTCTTATATTTTTAGAAAGTTAAGTTGAATATACAATTTTATTTGAATTGTAAACTGAAAATTAGTAATTATAACTGGTTTCTTATAGGGCTTACTGATATTGCTTCTGTTTACTGTCGAAAGATTTAAATATGAAATAAAAAATATTTAATTCAATGTAGAATCTATTCTCAATAACTTGGGGGGAGGGGCTGCAACCATAAGCTCTGGGCTTTCAATTGAGAGGTTGTGACCAATAGTGGTCACAATCCCTATGTTTTTGGGCAACACACTTGTCTAGTGCTGAGTTATATGCATTACTAAGTATAGACCCCAGAGAGGGGGTTGCACACACTTTATATTGTAATTGATTCTGTATAAAATGATGAGCTGAAAAAGTGCCTTAGATATGCACTATTATATATATATATCATATGATTATGATGAAAAATATTAGTTGCACAAGTTCCTTTGACAACCTTTCCTGTAGGCAGATGCACCAATACATTATTATTATGCTAAAAATGTATGTCTCATATTTAGGTGTTTGCGCTAGATATGTTGAGGGGAGGTAGGGTTTACATGTAAAGTAGTCTATGGAATTGAGTATATAATTTAAACAATGCAGTCACATAATGTACATAAGAGCTGTTAGTATTACGATTAAAAGTTGTAGTTATTTGCAGTAAGTTGTATTCACACACATTGTGAACTGTTTAGTTATTTTCAAAGCCTTGAATATTTTGCAAAATTATGTATTGTTATTTAGAAATATTCAGAACAATTAAATTTAATGAATTTGTTGTTTTTGGAATAAAACTGTTGGATTCATATTTCCATAAAACTTTTTCATTTGATTTGTATCATTTTATTTAATCAAGAAAAATCATATGCTGTACATTTTCCAGAGTTTATATAATGATGGTCACTCACTGAGCCCGACGGTCGTCGACCGACTCAATTCTACGGAAAGGAGCGTGCCAAGAATCGTTTTTAATGACGATCCGTTCAGACTCCAACCGACAATCAGCAGACAGCGTCGTCTAGCGCTCACATGGATGGATTTGTCATATGACGCAGTGGGTGGCCGGCTTAATTCTCATAATAAACTTGCAGGAAACGGCAGAAAAAACCATGTATTAATAATGTTATGATTTATAACTTACAACATTCATACACAAAACTGGTATAAACATATTCAAAACATGGCAAAAATAGGCATTAATCTCAGTCTTCTTGTGATAAAAGTAACTTTTACAAAAAGGTAAAATTTAAGAGTCAAAAAAGGATAACCAGTTGGCTTTTGAGACTTTAAAAAAAAAGCACACTTATAAAATTTGCAGGACAAGAAACATTGCAAAGTTACCCTTTGCAAAGGTAAGCTATGAAAAATGTGGACTAATTTTTAATGAACTTGGTAAATAGTAGTGGAAGGTGTTAGATACTACAAACAAAAAAAATTATAAAGATGAGGGTCACATGGCCTATTGGAACTTCTCATAGCAAACAAATATCTGGGTTCAAATGATGCAAGACATCATGATTTCTTCTCATGATTTCCATTTCCTAATGTTACTTATCTTAAAAAACTTTGCCCTCAAATTAATTACATTGCATTAGTAGGGCATACATACAACAAATTTATAATATTAAGGCCAAACAATTTTTTCCAAACTGAAAATCAATGTTGGTACAGTACATCTGGAATTTTTCCACCACCTTTTTAGGTTTGGGTCACAATTCTAGGGTTCACACTCACTCACCTCATGCATTTTGGCTTGTAAAATGGTAACCACCTACATGGTATCAAATTAAATAAAGCTTGAAGGGTTTTTTTCCAAATGAATATTTCAGGCTGCACATAGTGTAATTGTAGAAGTAACTGAACCTTAATCTAAGCCAACAAATAAATTTGCTGGTGAATGCAAATTAAGTTGAATGGATAAATATTTTAGCTGCTTTCAAAATATCTAGACTTTTATAGGATATTCTCACTGTACACATACATACATACATACATTACATACAATTGCTTCTACTTCTGACATTAGTATCAGAGAGTAGTATAAATACAATATATTTTAAACATCAAGGTGCAATTTAGTGTCAAGGTAATTTAAAGGTAAGAATAATTGCAATTTTCACTTAGAATTTGAGGTAAGACAAAAATTATTTGCATATTTAAAATTAATGAATGTTAAAGTAACTTTGCCAAATTAGCATATTTAACAATTAAATATGTTTTTGAGACTCTGGAACATGAGAGCTTGAAATCAAGGTTTTTGATATTCTTTCATCCAGACTGCATTGACACCAATATCAAGACAATTACATAAGTTCAGTAGCTCATTAGAAAGGTTTCTATAAATTACTACATACATTTCATATAATACAATATGCACAAGTAAGTATAAAATTTATATAAGCAATCAAATTTATATAAGGAATCAAATTATAAGGAATGTACATACAATTGTAAAAAGTGAAAACTTCTATAGTCATTTTAAAAAATTTTTTTCAATGTAGCACCATTTAAAAATGTTTATAGAATACATAAACTGTAGTCTTGTGTGTATGTGTTAATTTACAAAATACTACGCTATGCTTTGCTACCAAAAGATCACATGTTACCAAGGGCAGATCACATGTTACCAAGGGCAGATCACATGTTACCAAGGGCAGATCACATGTTACCAAGGGCAGAAAACAACACTGATCAAGGTGGACTGTGTGGCTCCTGAAGTGAGACTCGTTTACGTTTCCTTGTCAAAACTAATATCAGCCCAACACCTACACCACTATATGTCTCTTTCCTCATGGTTTTTCCTTGGTTTCCTTTTTGTTCCACTCTCTGGCATTCTATCACCTTTATCAGTTCGCGAATGACGTCTAGGGCTGGCCTCATATGATGCTCCCTCACTTCCGGCCTCTGCAAGCCTTCGTCGGCTAGTAGATCCATTCCGCTTTGATTTTCCTTGTGGAGGGAGTTGATTCGGTGACATTTCTGAACCGCTATCTGCAGCTATTAATGTGCGCATTTTGGCACGGGATGGATCTGTATATTGCTTTTTCTTCCGCCTTCTTTGACGACTATACAGTACATAATTTAGAAAAAAAAATATAATCATATTGAGTAAAATGTTTTCACTCAGTCATTAAATGCAGCATGAGGCATGCCACAATATTGATTCAAATTAAAGTGCCATCACATATACAAATTAAATATTGTAAAAGTACAAATTTTAATTGGTTAAACAAAATATTAGACCATATATCTGACCCAAGGGGTTGGGGATCCACTGTTATTACCATAAGTACAGTATTAATATTTTTAGTATGAATTTTTAAAATGAGCAATTTTTGAGATTGGGTATCATGTAACAAAACAATATGGAAGTAAGGTGAGCATAGTTGACACCATTAATATCTCTCTTTATAATTAATGTATTCAGATTTTGGTAATACCTCGTTCCTGGTGTATCTTGTTCACTATCTTCAGTTCCAGAAATGAAATTTAACTCACCATCTTTACTCTCAATAGCTATTACCTAAAATAAAGCGTTCACTCACTTTGTTAATACCGTATAGTTAAGTTGCAGCTAGAAATATTTAGCCATAAAATGATTTCTGAGAGAGATTTCTCAGGCAGAGACCATCACCAAATCGTGAAAAAATGTTGTTTTAATATTGAAAATAATAATAAAACTTGATGTATAGATATATATAATGGTTAATCTAGTGCAGTAAAATAGATATCAACAATTTTGAGATTCTAAAATGTTTTGGCCATTACCTCTGAAACATGATTTGGGAGGAGTGACTAATTTGGCTGGTCTACGATCCATATAGTAACTTAATGGACACATACACTGCACTTTCAAAGACAACAGATTCAATCATTGTATTGCAGAGATCAAACAGAGATCAAACAGCACATTGATAGATGGGTTCCAGTATGCCTTCAGCATTTACTGAGCTGCAGTCTTATTCACTATTTGTTACTGCATAATATACAACTGTACATACCTTCTTGTCTCTGCCTTTCCTCCTGGATGGCGTTGCCCCATCCACCTCGTCTTCTGCGACATCCGCAGATAGTTTTCTTCTGCTTTTTGTTTTTTTACTGTGCGGTGTTGAGCGCAAAGGTTTTTCATTAAGTACCGCATCTATATCATCACTAATTGGTGATAACGGTTGTGCTTTTTCTCCATTTTCTGGTGGCCATAACACTGAAAATAACAAAGTACAAGTTAAAATATGACAAAAGTTTGTAGAGAGTTTGGTTAAATAATTATGATTTTTTTGTTTCCAAAAAAACTTGGTAGCCATCCAGTGGTGGGTCTAGGATATACAAATGGGGAAGGTGTCAGGCTGATAGGGTGTCTGACAATTTTCCTCAAAGGCCAATGGGGTCTAGGGGGCAATTAAGCTCTAGTATCTGAATCTCAATTCCAAAGTTCTTTTAGCAGTTCTTTGGAAAATGCTAAGAGCACCAACTAAACGCCAGTGGAACAGAAATTAAGTTAAAAATTATGATGTTGTTTAATGTACTTGAAACTAGAGTAAATACCTTGCTCCATGACATAATTAGCAGGAAAGTAGCCCTGCATCCCATCAGGCATTTCACCCATCCACCAGTTAGCATTATCTTCGTGTAGGACTTTGATAACACTTCCCTGGGAAAATGTCAGCTCATCTGACCTCTGGGCTGTGTAGTCATACATCGCTACTACCAAATGAAGCTTTGCAGGCTTGGTTTGGCTCGACACAAACTTGAAACTGGCTGAACCAGACTGGGCCTACAAAATGAATGAATGATCAAAAGTTTGGTGTGTATATTTTTATCAAAACTAGAATTGGATTCTATTTGGTATAGTAATGCAATACTTAATGTTGGTTGGCAGTAATAGTAGCATGTATTGATCATTGCAAAGGGTGTAACCTCATATAGACCTGCTTTGTGCCACTGTGTTGCTAAGTGGGCATGCTTCTGTGGGACACTTACCGGTTGAAGGGATATACTAGGGATGCTCATCTTCTTCACATACGACTGCTGTTGGATAAGTGCTAAAAAATCAAATACATCATATTAATGATAACAAACACAAGAAAGTATAAATTGGATGATGGGTTGTTGTCCATCTGAAATGTCTTCAATTAAATCTTTTGTGTTATTTCTAAGATGTCTGGTGTTGTTATCAACTTGCGTCCTTTTGATTCAATTATCAAGGATTTCAGTTCAAGGAATTTACCTGTTTTCCGTCTATTTGTATACACAAAACCAAATTGGATAACAATTTTCTTCAAAAGTGTAAATTTATTATTACATTTTATTCAGAAATGTCGATTATGGGCTTGAAGTCAATACACCATGAGCAATCCCTCGGAATGGATACCGGCACTCTTCAAATTCTCGATTTTATTTTTATTATCATTATTGATATTGAACCTATATTAAATCACTATATCTATTTAGGCATAGAAGAATAAATTATTATTTACATGCAGTAGACAATTATGCAGTAATAATGTCATCACATAAATAAGGTAATGCTG